CTGAGTCGTAGGGTAACTTCCTGTTTAACTGTGGGAGAAACTTCTAGACTGTTTCCCAAAGTGGCTGTACCATTTTACATTCTCGCCAGAACTGTAGGAGGGTTCCAATCTCTCCACTTCCTTGCCAAACTAAAGCTTTTTTTTTTTTAAGGTTTTATTTATTTTTGAGAGAGAGAGATGGCACAAATAGGGGAGGGGCAGAGAGAGAGAGGAAGAATCCCAAGCAGGCTCCGCACTGCTGTGCAGAGCCCAACGTGGGGCTCGAACTCATGAACCGTGAGATCATGACATGAGCCGAAATCAAGAGTCAGACACTTAAGCGACCGAGCCCCCCAAGCATCTGATAACCTTTTCCTTTTTTAAGACATAACCTTAGTGTGTATGAAGTGGAATCTCATCATAGTTTTGGTTTGCATTTCCCTGATGGCAATGATGTCGATGATCTTTTCCTGGGTTTACCAGTCTACCTTCTTTGAAGAAGTATCTTTTCAGATCCTCTGCGCCTTTATAAAATTGGGCCTGTTGGGGCACCTGGGTGGCTCAGTCGGTTAAGCGTTTGACTTCAGCTCAGGTCACAATCTCACGGCCCGTGAGTTCGAGCCCCGCGTCGGGCTCTGGGCTGATGGCTCAGAGCCTGGAGCCTGCTTCCGATTCTTTGTCTCCCTCTCTCTCTGCCCCTCCCCCGTTCGTGCTCTGTCTCTCTCTGTCTCAAAAATAAAATAAAACGTTAAAAAAAATAAATAAATAAAATAAAATTGGGCCTGTTGAAAAAATGCAAAAAAAAAAAAAAAAAAAAAAAAAAGGCTGGGGCCCTGGCTGGCTCAGCAGGTGAACCCTACAAGACCTTGATCTTGGGGTCATGTATTTGCAAAATGTTTCTCCCGTGCTGTGGACTGCCTTTTAACTTTCGTGACAATGGCTTTGAAGTACAAAGGTTTTTTTAATCTTTTTAATCTTTTATTTTTAAGTAATCTCTACACCCAACACGGAGCTCGAACTCACGACCCCGAGATCGAGTCGCTCACTCCCCCCACTGAGCCAGCCAGGTGCCCCATCAAAGGGTTTTTTTTTTTTTATCTTT